AGATTGGTTATTGTCCTTAAGATCGTCTTGCGCTTAATGGGTTTTCATTACTAGACTAGGTTATACGCCACTAGCTAGTTTAGTTGATGGAAACACTAGGTTATTCCAAATGGCCGCAATAATACCTTAGAAACGAGAGACGTTGTGCCTATCTTGTTTAGCTCTGTGAATGGATGAATTGTGTTATGCGAATTGGTTCCTTTGTTGTTTAGACTAGGCTATATGCCACTAGATAGTTTGAATGATAAAAGTACTAGGTTGAACCCAATGATGTATGAACCCTATAATGGAGTGGAGAGAACTATAGTTTGATGGTGAACACGTAGCCTGATAATTATGATGGAGTTAGAGCCCTAGGATTCTGTGTAGATAGTTAGATTTAGATTTACTTTAATGTTGATTTCATGCCTTCGTTATTTCAATTCTCGTTTTGATTCATCAAGGCATAGTTACGAAGGTAGCGAGAGCACCTCCAATCTCTGTGGGATCGACCCTTACTCGTGCACTTGCGAAGGATTAAACTTTGTATGCTGTCAATGCTTTGGGGCGAAATTCCTCCATCTCATTCAGTTGCAATAATCTCTTTGCACCTACCGCCTTTGGATCAAAATTTAGTAGCTTCATAGCCCAATATGACCTATGCTTGAGCTCAACTAGAAGGTGAAATGCTTTCCCATATACTAGCCTATATGGCAACATCCCTATTGGCATTTTGAATCCCGTTCTATATGCCCATAGTATGTCATCAAGCTTTGTCGACCAATCTTTCCAAGAGGTGTTCACCATTTTCTCTAGAATTCTCTTTAACTCCCTATTAGACACCTCCACTTGACCACTTGTTTGTGGATGATATGGTATCACAACTCGATGTGTAACTCCATACTTGCTCAGCAAGTCTCAAATTGTCTGTTACAAAAGTGAGATCCTCCATCACTTATGATAGCTCTAGATGTGCCGAATCTTGAAAAGATGTTCTTCTTTATGAACTTTACCACGATTTGAGCATCGTTGGCAAGTATTGCTACAACTTCCACCCATTTCAAGATGTAATTTACAACCACGAGAATGAAACAGTTAGAAAAAAGAAGATGGGAAAGGTCCCATGAAATCTACGCCCCACACATCAAATATTTCTACTTCTAAAATGTTACTAAGAGGCATTTCAGTTTTCCTATAAATATTTCAGCCCTTTGACATGCATCACAAGTGTTAAAATATAATTATATGCATCTTTAAATAGAGTGGGCCAAAAAATTCCCGATTAAAGAACTTTGGCGACCATCCATGTTGCTCCAAAATGCCCTCCGGCTTCAAAGAATGGCAATGTCGAAGTATATTCTCCATCTCTTCCTCTGGTACACATCTCCTTACCATTTGATCCGCACATTGCTTGTACAAGAATGGATCCTCTCAAAAGTAATACTTCAAGTCAGAGAAAAAATTCTTCCTCCTTTGGTATGTCATTCTGGGAGGCAACACCTTTTTTGCTAAGTAATTAGCGATGTCAGCAAACCAAGGTCCATCTTGCACCACAAATAGTTGCTCATCCAAGAAGTGTTCATTGAATGGCTTTTCATCCTTTTTATATTCTTCCCTTCTTTCTAATCGAGATAGATGGTCCGCCACTTGATTCTCGGCTCCTTTCTTGTCTCGGATTTTCAAGTTGAACTCTTGAAGAAGTAATACCCATCTAAGCAATCTTGGCTTGGAATCCTTCTTTGCTAGAAGGTACTTCAAATCAGAATGGTCGGTGTCTACGATGACCTTTGTACCTAGCAAATAAGAACGAAACTTGTCAATTGCAAAAACAACAACTAAAAACTCTTTTCCATTGTGGCATAATTTAATTGTGGTCTCATCAATGTCCTACTAGCATAGTAAATGAAATGCAATATTCTACCTTTTTGTTGCCCTAATACACCACTTATTGCATAGTCACTAGCATCACACATCAATTCAAAAGGTAATTCCCGATCGGGCACAACAATTATAGGGGCAGATATCAATTTAGCTTTTAGGCACTCAAATGCTTCTAAACACTCTTTAGTGAAATTAAAAGATGCATCCTTAACTAATAAATCACAAAGAGGTTTAGAGTTTTTAGAAAAATCCTGGATAAATCTCCTATGGAAGCTGGCGTGTCCGAGGAAACTCCGAACAACTTTCACGAAATTTGGAAGTGGTAGCTTCTCAATGACCTCCACCTTTGCTCAGTCCACCTTGATCCCATTGATGGAGATTCTACGGCCTAGTACGATTCCTTCTTGTACTATAAAGTGACACTTTTCCCAATTAAGTACTAGATTGGTCTTTACACATCTCTACAAAACCAAAGAAAGATTAGATAAACAAGAAATGAAAGAATTACCTATCATAGAAAAGTCGTCCATAAAAATCTCATTGGATTTCTCCATCGTATCTAAGAAGATGGACATCATGCAACATTGAAAAGTGGTCGGTGCGTTGCATAGTCCAAATGGCATCCTTCGATATGCAAATGTTCTATATGGGCATGTGAATGTTGTCTTTTCTTGATCTTCTGATGCTATCGCAATTTGATTGTATCCCGAATATCCAGCTAGGAAACAATAAAATGCATGGCCCGCTAATCTCTCTAGCATTTGATCGATGAAGAATAGTGGGAAGTGATCCCTGCATGTCGCAGAGTTAAGCTTCTGATAATCAGTGCACACTCGCCATCCCATAACCATTCTTGTCAGAATGAGTTCATTGTTGTCTTTTTGCACCAGGTCATTCCTCCCTTCTTTGGTACAACTTAAACCAGACTCACCCACACACTATCCGAAATTGGGTAAATGATCCCCGCATCCAACAACTTCAAAACCTCTTTCTTCACTACCTCTTACATTGTTGGATTTAGTCTTCTTTGTGGTTACACCGTTGGCTTGTAGCTTTCTTCCATTAAAATCTTGTACACGCAAATGGAGGGGCTTATGCCTTTGATGTTCGCAATTGTCCATCTGATAGCCATCTTGTATTTCCACAACACCCTCAATAGTTTTCTTCCTCTACACCACTCAAAGAAGCATTAATAATAACAAGATAAAACTTTGAATCTTCTAAAAATGCATACCTTATTTGAGATGGAAGTTATTTGAGTTCAAGTTTCAAAGGCTCCTTTGTCGATGAGTTGGAATGGTTGTCTACCGCATTAATTTCATAGAACTTCTTAGTGTATAATGATTCAATTGATAGTAGAGCGTTTAAGAAGCTTAAACACCCTTTCAACTCTTCTCGACCCACTTCATCTTCGTTTGTCCTAGCATTAACCAGACAATTCTCTAAGGGGGAGCTTGGGTAATTTTCTTCTATGGTTTTAGCAATGATATCATCAAGGACACTAATCTTGAAACAAGTATCTCCCTCAGATGGGTACTTCATGGCATCAAACATATTAAAATCTACTTGTTCATCCTCTACCTTTAAGATTAGTTTTCCTTGGTGAACATGTATCAAAGTCCTACCAGTAACTAGAAAAGGTTTTCCTAAAATTAGAGGTACTTCCCGATCTTCTTCCATATCAAGCACAATAAAATCTACCAAGAAAATCAATTTATCTACTTTTATTAAGACATCCTCTACTACTCCACTGGGATATTTTATTGACCTATCTGCTAATTGAAAATGAACAGTGGTTGGTTTTACTTCCCCTATGCCTAGTTTCTTATAAATTGAAAAGAGCGTCAAATTTACACTAGCACCTAGATCACATAGAACCTTATCAAAATGAACACTAGCTATTGTGCAAGGAATTCTGAAACTCCTTGGATCTCTGAGCTTTTGTGGTAGTTTCTTCAATAGCAAGGCACTACACTCTTCCGTAAACATCAACATCTCATGTTCTTCAAACCTCCTCTTCTTCGTGAGAATCTCCTTTACAGACTTCGTGTACTTCGAAATTTACTCCAACATGTCTATGAAAAGAATGTTAATGTGTAAACTTCTAAACATGTCCATGAACTTACTGAATTGCTTGTCTAATATCTGTTTCTACACTCGCTGAGGATACGAAAAGGTTGTTTCATCATTCGTTGCAGCGTGGGGATTTTTGTCAGATTCTACCCTTGTGCCACAACACTCTTGCTTTTATCATCTGCTGTGCTACGACATGCTTACTTCTAGTTTCTTCTGTGCCATGGCACTGTGTCATGGCCTGGTTACTTCTGTCCATTTTTTTCGCTTCGAGTTTTTGCCCTTTTTCTTCTTCCTTGCTTGATTCCTTCAACTCCTTGCCACTTCTTAGCATGATAGCATTTATTCTCTCCTTCTGATTCTTCTTCGTATCACTTGGTAATGAACCTTGAACTCTTTCCGATAAAATACTATGTATTTGTCCCATTTGAGTCTAAAGGTTTCGTACGGAAGCAACTTGATTTTGCAGCAAGACTTCATATTTCGAAAGTTGAGCTTCATTCTTGTCAAATCTTTTACACGATTCCTCCATAAACTTTGTAAGCACATTCTCCACGTTGGATTTCTTCTCTTAAGGTTGGAAGCCTAGTGGTGGTTTGTGCTCATTGTTGTTTCTCCATGAAAAGTTTGGATGATTGCGCCATGTTGAAGTGTATGTGCTAGAGTATAGATTCCCTTGCCCTCGTTGAAAATTGTTGACATAGCTAGCTTGTTTCAGTTGAGCAAATGGATTCCTTTCTTGAAAATCCTTTGACAAGTGATTCCCTGCGCAAAGTTCACAAGTTAGAGAAGAATATTCAATAGCATTTACCTTTAGGGCAACTCCCAATTGCTTTTGGATGGCTAAAAGTTGAGCAACCAACGCGATGTAGCCATCAACTTCGTGCACTCCCGTTGCTTTCCTTGTTAAATTTCTCTCTGAAGGCCTCATGTAGTTATTGCTTGCCTTAACATCAATCAAATTGTAGGCTTCCTTTGGTGTTTTGTTGTTCAAAGCTCCTTCACTCGTAGCATCAATCATAACTTGTATATTATTGTAAAACGTTTGGACTTGCAACCATATTGGAAACCTATGGTGAATACACTTTCGTAAGAGATCCTTATACCTTTCCCATGCTTCATACAGTGACTCAATGTTTTGCTAGAAAAAATTAGTAATGTCACTTCTCATCTTGCCAGACTTAACAAGTGGAAAATATTTCATAAGGAACACTTAGACTAACACATTCTAAGTAGTGATACTTCTAGGGGGTAGTGCAATCAACCAAGCCTTAGCTTTATCCCAAAGGGAGAATGGGAAAAGCCTTAGCCTAATTGCGTCATCAAATACCCCATTGTGTCTTAATGTGTTGCATAACTCCAGAAAATTTGTGATATGCGAATTAGGATCATCACTAGGCGACCCTCCAAATTGTACCGAATGTTGTATCATCTAAATAATGGCAAGTTTGATCTCAAAGGTATTTGCTTGAATCGGTGGTCTCCTAATACTAGAAGCAAATCCCTCAATTGTAGGTCTTGAGTAATCATTGAGTGCCTTTTGAACTTCTTTTCCCCCTGTATCTTCCATTAAACCTAACTCCTGTGTACGGTCTAAGACTTAAAAAAATAATCTAAAAGTAAAAGAATAAACTAAACCTAATAATAAAACTAAATTAATTACAAATACAAGGTAAAAAAAAAAAAATCAAATTAGCAAACAAAATAGCTTGTATTGATATTGGTAAATAAAATAGTAATTCCTCGGCAACGGCGCAAAAAACTTGTGATTTTCACAATGGTATGAAATCGTGCAAATAATAAAGTGTAAGAAAAATGTATCATACCCAAAGGAATTACTAACTACTATCAGTCACCAAAATAAACTATCATATTACTATATGATTAATCTAACTTTTATCAAGAAAAACCTAAATTAAAATAAGCAATTGAATTTTAAAAACAAAACTGAAAAGAAGACAAACTCAATAATTCTTTGGTTTTAACTCAAGATGACTAACCTAGGGCATAGATTTCACAACTCTTATTCATATGTATTAATAACTCATGCTAATTTCGTTAAGCTCTTCCTAAAGGTCAAACTCCCTAAATTTTCAATAATTTTCTCTCGAACAATTATCAAATTAACTCCTAATTACTAACCTGAATTATCTCTAATCAGATTTAAGCAATTGGAGATCATAACGTTCTATAAAGTTTACCAAAACCTCACAAGACTCGGCAACTTGACTCTAGTGTTCGTTCAATCTATGGTTTTACTACCTTAGACCAACTAAGCGTCATCTCTAGATCTCAACTTAGTCCGTTAATTCATCTGATTCTCAGGCCCTTAAGAATCAAAAGCATTAGGCACAATAATAAAACTTAGGAAGCAATCTCAATAACAATTAACACAAGTTATTCAATACATATTCAAGAGATTGGGCTATATCTTAGCCCTAGAAAATAAAGTTAGTTCATAGCAAATATGAAAGAAACAAAAATCTTTATTAAAACAAAAGTCATGAGTTTAAAGAAGAACAAAGAAAAACTTCTCTATGATTTTTCTCCAAAAGCTCTAGAAATTCTGATGCTCTTTTCTTTTCTTCTAATAGTTTTCCTTTTGATCTACCCCAAAAATTCCCTCAAACGATGCTAAAGAATTTTATTTGTATCCCACAAGGTTAGGGTTTCGTATCCCCTCATTCTACTAAGTTTAGAACTCCTAAAACCCCAATTTTCTAGTCAAACACAGAAATAAATTTTCCAGTTTTTGTAAGTGTGCCACAGTACTGTGCCGCAGCATGGGTGGTTCTAACTTTGTTATGCCACAGAACAGTATCACAGCATGGTGTCCAAATCTTCTCTTCAGTTCAGACCTTGCATTATTCTTCAACACTCTAGATATGGTGATTTATGAGCATGATAACGTTCGAATCTAGCCAAGTGGTAAACATATGAAATGTAGCCCTTCGAAAATTCTTTCCAATGGTTCAAGAATCATCTCAATACAAGGTCTTAGATATAGTTATTGTTGAAATACTGAAGCGTGATCAAATTGGAGCATACTCTAGAATCTTCTCTTTAACTTCAAAACTCCATAACTTCTTCAATTCAACTCCAATTCTCAATCCATTTGTTTGTACTCGTCACTCATTCTGTTGCTGACATGATTCTTCATCTGAGCATAACATTTAGCATTAATAATCTGAAAACACTCAAACACACCTATGATCCATAAAAGACATTCATGAAAATATTAAGTAAATTTACCAATTTAAGCCTAATTTCTCACAAATAATCCCTATAAACCACTAAGTAAATGTGTATTTTCAAGCTCTTATCAATATCTAATAATATATGCCCTTAGAGTGGTGGAACCATGACAAGGGAATCAAGTGTTTTAAGTCTTAATTGTGAGATCCTTATGACCATAGATGGTGGCCATTCTAGAAACAGCCTTAGTATTATTATGCCCTAGGGTACAAATAATATAGTAAGGCTATTATTACGTTGAACGACCCTACCAAAAGGGAGTGACAGATCTCGTATGTCAAAGTTTTTGGGTGACAATTTGGTGCAACGCGTAGGTGCTTGTTGACTGCAAGTTCACTAGACTGACCCACCAAAGGATTCCATATAGATGGTAACCTCAGTGTTTATAGAATAAGTCCTCTAACAGATGGTGATGCATGTAATCCTTAGACTTGAGATCATCGGAGTGTTTTGTGTACCTATTGGTGTAGTTTGATAGTAGCCTAACGTAGTCTTATTTAGGACTTTCAATATGGTAGTGATTGGCTGGATTGAGAAGTATATTAAGGCTATGGTGGATCAATATAGAATTCATCACTCCTAAGTATATGAGAGAGTTATCACACTGCGTGATTCGGTTAAATGGACACAACACATAAATCTATGGTCGTAATGGGACTGAGTCGTTGCTCAATCCAATTTTAATTTGGTCGTTGATCTGATAACCAAATACTAACACATCAGAATAACATCTGAGGTTGACATATGCCTCGGCCTAATGGGATAATAGATTATGAAAGGATTTGATTGCATGGTAGTCATACAGTTGATAGGTATCAATTTTATGTTGATCTCTACTTGTTGGGTGGCCATGATGTCTTGCTAGAGGCCAATTTTGACCTATGTATAGTGAGACGATTAATTGGTGGTTAATCGCGATTACTCATTACCAATATGATAGAGAGCCTACGGGTTACACAAATAAAGGGAATTAAATCAAGAACTTGTTTTGATCAAAGAAAGGGTTAAAGGGTATTTTGGTCTTTTCACAAAAACAAGGTAATTTGGTAATTCTATATAGGTTGTTGCCTATGTCTATTTCTTAATGAAATAGAATAAATAAATAAGCTTACCTAATTAATATTAATTATATTAATATTAATTGAATGAGATAAAATTACCCTAATTAATGTTAAGTATATATTTATTATATATGAATATTAATTGAAATAAAATACCTAATTAATATTCAATATATCTATTATATTAATGTATAAATTGGAAACCTATTTAATTCTATCCTAAATTGGATTTAGCATAAACTCAATTAGGAATAGAATTGTATCCTATTTCAAGATGGAATAGGACTTTAAGTTTACTATATAAGCAAACTTAAAATTAGGTTTCATTAAGTTTAAGTCAATTCTCTAAAAGTGGAGCGAGTTATTTTTAGAGAGAGAGATCCCTATTCGTTTTTACCAAATTTAGCAATTGGGTGATTTAGTCTTTGGTTGCTCTTGTCAATTCTTTGTAGGGATACTGAAGCACGATTCTACACTTGAATCGAGTTGCGAAAAATCCGTAGTGAACAGTGTCGCAAGCAATGCCGGTGAATAGTGCCAAAAATTAAAGTGAAGAAGCCTCCAAACCTAAGAAGTCATTCTATCCTTGAATGGACTTTTAAGCATGAAAACGGTAAAATCAATACCGAAATCCTAGGCTTTAAGGTTTAATTAATTTTTCAATTGTTAATTCCATTGTGTATGTTCTAATTAAACCTTACAACTTGACCCCAGCCCACCCCACCGCATCAAAATAACATAATATCATTTCATCAATAAATTTAAATATAATCTTGTATGCAATCAATCAATCTTCAATAATCATACACAAAATTAGAAAATAAGAAGCAATTTATAATTTTATATTCTCATTTTAATTAGATGCCATTATAATAGGCTTAATATAATAGCCCTACTCAAAAATTTTAGTCAAGTATAAATCTTGTTAATCTTACATCAATTTGAATAGTTGAAAATTAATCAATGAATCAAACTAAACAAATTAATCAGAAGAAGGAAGAAGAACTTCATACAAGAACAAATTAATTACTTAAATTGACATTTAAAATCTTTGTAAATTAAAATTATCAATTAGTTAGAAGAAGGAAGAGGAACTTTTTGTGATATTCAAAGAATTCATAGACTATGTTATAAGGATCATATTTCTTCTTCAAGTAGTTATTTTAATATGAGATCAACAAAATGTATAGTTGTATAAATATATTTAATTTGTTATTAACTTATTATTATTAGTGGTATCTAATTAAAATCAGAGTATAAATTGTCTCTTATTTTATAATTTTATGGATGATTATTGATAGGATTGCGTAGAAAAGAACATATATTTAATTTTTTCAAAGAAATTATATTGTGTTATATATATAAGTTTGATTAAAATTTAGATATTGTTGTGTATATGTATTATGTAAATGAGTAAATGTTAAGGTATATAATGTATACTTTTAAAAAGTTACATTTTAGAAGAAAAAAAAAACGATAATAACAAATTAAGGGGAGGAAAAAATTATCATTTAAAAAAAAAAGTGATTAAAGACCTTTTTATCTTTGTATATAAACCCTAATTTTGCACACAGCCACAATCACACAGCACACACAAATGCAACAACCAAGCCAACATTGAACACACGAACACGCAAGACAACCGAGTCTAATCACATTCACAAATCGCATTGGTCGCCAGATCCCGCTTCCGACCAGCAAGTAGTGAAGCACAGAAGCATTGACACTCGACAATCATCAAATCTTCTATCCTCTGCTGGTTTGGTGAGTTTTTTGAAAAATCTGTTGGTTTCAAATTTTCAATCATATTTGTATCTGTTGTTTTCTGTTGAAGATTTTGTTTTGTTTTCTTTTTTTT